CTCTGAATTGCGGCATTTTAAATTTTGTTATTACTGCTTTAGACTTATCTCTTTCCAATTAAGAGAGTCGTTGTTACTCACGCCGCCTCAGTGCCAAAACCCAAGACTCGCAATTTAAGGGAGCGGTGGTCCCCAACGAACTAATTGGTGGCGTGCAGTCTGCCAGGCACTGCGCATTCATGTCGAAGCCGGTCAGGCCCTTTGATGAGTCACGGTCGGGATCGCGGCATAGCGGATCCCCCACCAAATATCCTTACTAGGACCGCACTCCTACAAGTAGGTTACCTTCGCTAGTTTTAAGAGATGGACCGCGTCGTCAAACCCATCCCTAAGACTGCTTTCACATTGGCGATTTTTAGCCGCGCGATTAACAGCGGGTGCGCGTGACGTAGTTAAACATTAAATTTGAATAAGAAAAGATATGTAATATAATCAGGTGTATCTGCGATTCAGCAGCGGCTAAAAATCGCCAAGCGAATACAGACTTAGTCTTTGGTGGAACTCTATAGACACCGAGGCACTATGAAAGATTAGTGATCGGCGATAAAGAACGAAGGCGGATGTGACTCAATTTTTCCGGGAAATATGACGTGTTCTAGAGTATTTGCAAGCGTTCGGGAGAACTCGAGAACATTCTAGAAAGATTATGCTTTGCTATATACGCAAATCGAATTCTATACCGATAGTGAATTATTAGTGATACCTAAATAGTTCGGGCTCTTATTATGTTATGCATTTTGAGTGATAAATACTAATTTACTGTTATAAATAAATAAATCACGTAATTAAATGGACGTTACAATACAAAAGAAAAGGTCCAACAGAAGAGTCTTAGAGAAGCTGGTCGGAACTATAATATACCACTCCGAACAGTGAGAAGGCGACTAAAGAAAAACGACCTCGTAAAAAAGTTGGGACCTTCTTCAATTCTCGGTAGAGAAAATGAAGAAAAATTAAAAGGACATATAGAACAAGTATAAATTGTGCACAACTCTTGTGCAGATAAAGCGCATTTTTTAAACCGAAATTACTTTTGTCATCACCAATGGATATATTTCTTGCAGACGTCTCAATCGCCCTTTGTGAGTACCCTCTTCCGACAATCCGTTCTTGAGGTATAAGGGAATATGCACGATCACGATAAGAGGTCGAGGAGGAGGGCTATGGTTGGTAGAAATTAATTTCATTCGTTGAGACCTTTCATTAGAGTACCATGAAGGATAAAACTTGTTCCACTCTTGTGGGAGTGGAAGTAAAAGAGCCCCTAATTGAAGTTGGCGCAAAAGCCGTCCGCCAGTTAAAATCGCAGCAAGGTAAATAATAGAGTTCTAAAAAACCGCGCGATTGTTCAATACGGAAGTGGTGTACGTGCCGAATTTAAAATAAATTAACCAGAAAAAAATGCGATTTAGTGATAAGTCGTATGGAAATTTGTTCCACAGTATTTCTTCCGGACGTCCAGGTTTTGTTCTATACAATATAGAACCATCGACACACTATAATTAAGGTAACGTAATTTTTTTGATTTGTATTAAAAATAACGATCTGTTCTCCTTCGGAAATTGCTTAAAATTTTATTGGAAGTAAGAATTCTGAAAGGAATCGCTCTATATAATTGACTGAATAGAGCAAAGTTGTCTCGTAACTGTTTGCACTAATTTTTTAGAAGCAGTTTTGGATTTTCTTTCTTGTGAAATTGTATTGTCAGTTTAAGTGGGAATATTTCTATAAGCTGCAAGGTGTTAGGATGTACATCCCGCCTCGGCGCTCTGACTCGGTCAATAGATCAGTCACGTCGATCTATGTCTCTTACTGCGAACATACCTGCAGGTCAAGCTCACCCCCGAACTCTTGTTTGTTAGTAACGAGGTCTTGATTTTCTTATTGGGTCGACACCATGACCTATTCGAGCGCTCCCCTGGACCGCGTCATAGGTCTCTCGAAACCTAGGAATATATACGGATTTCGGCGAGGGTTTTACCTAAGTATCCCAACAGCAAGGCCAGTACGATGGCCCGCGATAATTCCCTCACCACCTACACGTGGGAGACAGGAGGCCAACCTCACCAGTACTCCCGTCGCTCTACTTAGCATCCCTTACGGTCGTGACCTGACCGCGTACGCAACTGAACTGCCTTAATACGATCCCTAAGACCTTCACGCGTACTTGACCAGTCAGCTTGCCACATTGATCAAATAGGGGTTGCGTTGACATTTTACTTTACCATAAATTATCGTTTTTACATAAGATAAAGTGGAACTTGGATCGATTTCTAATTAGTCGGTATACTCATCAAAGAAACGCACACGGATGTGATCAAGTATCGAAATTTACGCGTGTTCAATTACAACCTGAATTTGAACATCGTTATCTGTAGAAAAATCCCCCGCCCGCCATCCCTGCGAATCATTAATCTTATCACATACACGTCGCGTTGCTAAAAAAACACCCCCCTTATATGGAAACCATGACACGTTTGATAAATCGCCCGCGGGAAAAAAAAGATTTGCGAGCGAAATTCAGATTATTTCGGTGCACTACGTCGTCGTGTACAAAAAAAAGTTGTATAAGGACACTTTCGCTTATAAATAACGTATTAAAGCCTTCTGTGCATCGGGGAAAGTTCCTGTTGATTTAGCACCGATTGCCACTTCCGGTAGCTTCGTCTTTTGGATTCCGTTAGTGTGCTTCTGACAAAGACACTGAATGTGGTTTAATTATAGTAGGTATTTATGAATGAATTTATTCTTCGCTATTAGTCAGGCACGCAAGTGTTTCTAAGTGCGTTATTGACTCGTGAATCACGGGTCAGTTTTTTAAGCACGTCTTTGTTATTATGTAGTCAGAGGAAAGAAAACGAATTGATTATACTTGGAAATTATTGTTATTTACATAACGTTTTGTTGTAATTATCGATGATAACTGTAAAACCTGATTGCCGGCTGTCTTTGTTTTGTAATGCGCGTCTATTTGCATTTCCATGTCAATTGAAAGGGAATAAATTTTTCTAATTTCTTGTAAATGAGGTTGATTACCAGACATCCTGTAATTTTGCGCTAAATTAATTTTTAATGACATGACAAATCGTGTCCGATATTTACTTTGTCACGATGTTTTTCGCATGCTGTCAAGTGTTTCCCAAATGTCATGGCTGTAATTTGTCTTAATTTGGGCCCACGTTTTTTTTCGAAAATTGATACAGTATTGGAATTTAAAGGAATTCTAACCTAGGAACATGAAGGATATTAAGGTACCTACATGTAAGAGTGGCACATTATACTGGCGAGGAACGAGCCAAGTAGTCTCATTGCTGACGAGTTTTGTATTACTTACATTTTTCCCGAAATCGTCTTTATACTTACTTAACTTTTTATTAATAATTAATGTACCTACCAGTTTTGATAGAAGGCAGAGGAAATAATCGGGGAAAGTGCCACCGTCATGGAAACAAAAAATGAAAATTGAATCAACAATAACTACGAGACACCCTGTATATAAGAATATTTTAATTTATGAACTGTGAATCTGGTGGATTATTTACGAAATAAGCACATTTCTATTTCAGTGCTTCCTGTTAGAATTTTTTGTAATAAAATTGCTGTTATTTTCTTGAATAAATGATATCGCTTTTGTGAATTGTTTATTTGGATTTGTGTATTTAATTGTTAAACGTGAAATTGCGTGTTAAAGTGTAGGACACATCTGGTCGTTTGCGATAAGAAGTTTTGTTACCGGGCGAAATTTACTTAACGCACGTGTTCTTATCGCTGTTAGAAGATCCAGGTGTTTTACGAGGTGCACGTTATTGTCGGCGTAAGTGGAGACGCGTTCTTTCGAAACTGGCGTTATCAAGTCCAATTGTGATTGATGGTGTTTTTGGAAATCCTGAAAACAGAAGTTATTTTATAGTGGAAGTCCACAATGCAGTTGTCTGCATTTCGAGTCATTGGGTTCTATTTATTAAAGAAGTTTTCAAAAGCTGTCGACGAGTGCTCTTGTGTCTTTGGTAAGTAGACCTGAATATCGCAAATATTTCACGACCAGACTACCTACTTGGATTGTTAAAAAAACTGTTTAGGATTTTTTTATTTTTAATTGTCGACCGCTTGCGTGCGGGGTATTATGTTCAAACAAGCTTTGTCATCTTCTCTTTCCTTCAGGGATTTTGTTTTAATTGTTTCATGTGTTATCCTTTGTGCGACTCGGATAATTGGTGCCCAAGATTTATTTCAGGTTTGTGTCCGAGACCTTATGACTATTTAACAAATTATTTTCCAGTTCATAGTTTTAGTAGTTTCTAAAACGGTTTCAAAAACCGGATGTAGGCTTTTAAAAGAACTATGGAGAAAGGTTGTATAAAAGTTTTAAGAAATCTACAATACTGTTTCTCTCTCGTTTTAAGAGTGATAAAGATATCTGTGGAGTCGGGGAAGAATTTTTATGGGAGCTTGAAGTTCTAGACGGTTCTAATAAGGTTTGGAAATGATTTTAAGAGTATACCTAAAGAAGTTTCGGATTCGAATAAGTAAAACTTCAAAGTCCCTCAAGCTTTATTCAAACTAAAAGGCGAGTTTGAACTAGAACTGAAGAATTTGGACGTAATGTTGGAACCAGATCTTAATTGAACTGGTCGGGCTCTTGAGCTCGATCTAGTGTTAAAATTTCGAATTTATAATACTCGAAGTCCTAACTTATTTTTGAGCACATTCTGCCTTCGAGTTGAAGTCGGAACAAGTAATGGTTTAAATTCGATTTTAAAATCAAGAATTACTTAAGTTCGATCTGAAAGATCGAGTTCGAATCTAAAATTCGGATTGAAATCTTCAACTGTTAAGTCGGGTTCCAACTACTACTGACTCCCATTAGATCAAGTCGCGTCGCTTTACAGATGAGAGTTGACTTAATCCGGAAACTCGATTCTATCCAACCTTTCTCGCCTTATTTCTGTGTACTCATAAACGCATTTTTGAAAGCGAACACAAAACAAAAAATAAAAATGTATAATAATTAAGTTCAGCTTTATTTAAATACTGAGACTATATCCGTAATCATAGCAAATCACATTTTAGTACAATTGGTTGTAAACAGTTGGGACGAATCTTTCGGTGTTGTAGTTCAACCATCCACCGTTAACGAAGGGGAGCTTGTGGGAATATACGTTGTAGTTGTATGGTACAATGGTGTTGTCCTTGTAATACTTGGAGGAGAAACCGTTGAATCCCTTGATTGGGTAGTTCTCCGAGATGTAGTTGCGTTCGTAGCTGACCTTGTTCAAGAAGGAGATGAATTTGTTGAAGATATCCTTGATCAAGAAATTTTCAAGGCCGTATACTTGTTGGTTTTCAATCAATTTGTAATATTCGGCGGCAACAACTTCAATGTAACGGAGGAAGCGGATCTTGAGTTCGGGCAAGTTGGTAAAAACTTCGGTGTTGATGGTTTGCTTGAGTTCTCTCTTGATTTCCTTGATTCTGTAGATGAATTCTTCTACGTACTTTTCGGTGTGAAGGGAACGTTCGAAGGTCATCTGCAAACAATTTTGATTAGTCATCGTCAACAAATCCGTCGAGTTACACTTACTTTGTTTTCGAATTTCTCTGAGATGTTGTCGAGGACGTTGATGAACTCACGGATGTTGTGGAGGAGAACGGTGTTGACATCGGTAACTTCCCAGGTGTTTTGTTCGAAACGGTTGAAGATGCGTTTGACAAGCATTTGGACGGTTAAGACTAAATCCTTGGGGGATTCATATTTGTTCCACTGGAGGTTTTTGCCATAGAAAGACTCGATTTGGTTCTGGTGAACGGGGAAAAGAGTTTCGTAGCTGTATGGGTTGTAGTAGTTGTTTTCAATGTTCTTGTATTCGAAGGGAATGTTGTAGTATTTGGTTTCGTATTGGTATGGGGTGTAGAAGCGGTTGTGGAATTCCTTTTCGTAGAGTCCGTATCCGTGCTTGCCATAGAATTCGGTGGAGTAGTATTTGGGAGTGTAGAAACCGATCTTGTTCCCGAATCTGGTTTCTTGGATAACGTGCTTGGCGGCGTAGAAGTAGTGGTAGATCACTCTGACGAGAAGAGTTTTGATTTCAACGGCTGAAAAAAACAACCAAAAATTACCAACTTTTACCATTAACCCATCCTGAGGTCACTTACGCAAGACTTTGTCTTCGCAGAGCTGTACCAATTGCTCGAAGATTGCAACAACTTCACGCAAGTTGGTGATGATCTTGGTTCTGAAGACTTTCACGTCAACGGTGTTTTCGGTCATGATTTCCATGATGGGGTACACGATTTCACGAAGTTTGTTGGTGAGCTGATGTAAGACAAGGTCGAGTTCTTTGTGTCCCAAGACGGTCTAAAAGAGAATCCGTTTAAAAGTGTTCGAACTATAATTTGGCCCACTCACCTCTTCTTGCAACTTGCGGACGATTTCGTTGACGACGATGAGGTATTCGCGGAGGGCGACCTTAATTTGGGTTGGGTGGACGAATTCTTGAAGAAGTTGGGTAAGTTCGTTGGTATAGTCGTGGATTTGCTTGATCAAAACACGTGGGGTTTGGACAACTTCTAAGCCTTCGTTGATGTGGATAAAGTGAGAACGGATTCCGTGAAGGGTGTTGACGAAGTCGACGAAAAGGTACTTTAAAGTGTATTGGAATTCAGGGTAGAGTTTGTAGGTGATGTTTACCAATTTTTCGAAACGCTCAAGAACGACGTTGATGGAGACGATGAAGTTCTTCTTAATTTCGTGGATGTTGGTGATTTCGTTGTAGACGGTGAATTGCTTGAGGGAGTCACGTACTTCCTTCAAAAGGGAGACGACCTCTCTGAAGATCTCAGTTTGATAGGTGAAGGTTTCTTCGTGGAGTTTGTTGATGATGACCTCGATAGCTTCAACAAGTTTGTGCGATTGCCAGGTGACGGTTTTAAGAGCCAAGCGGTCTTCTGGGAAATCTTTTTCGAGATACAAAGTGATGTCTTGTACTTCGGAGCGGATTTGGTTCAAGTACTTGAAGAGAGTATTGCCTTCGTTGAAAGATGGAACGGCAACATTGGATTCGTACTTGTTCCATTCCAAAGCCTTGCCATAGATAGATTCTGCTTCGAATTTACGGATTGGGAAAAGAGTTTCATATCTGTATGGGTTGTAGTAGTTCTTTTCGATGTTTTTGTATTCGAAGGGAATTTCGTAGTTGGTTTCGTACTTGTATGGGGTGTAGAAGCGGTTGTGGATTTCCTTTTCGAAGAGTCCGTATCCGTGCTTGCCATAATATTCGGTGCTGTAGTACTTGGGAGTGTAGAAACCGATCTTGTTACCGAATCTGGTTTCTTGGATAACGTGCTTGACGGCGTAGAAGTAGTGGTAGATGACTCTGACGAGAAGAGTTCTGATTTCTACGGCTGCAAAAAATAATAAAAATTCACCAACTGCTACCGTTTGTCCATCAAGAGATTACTTACGCAAGACTTTGTCTTCGCAGAGCTGTACCAACTGTTCGAAGATGGCAACAACTTCGCGCAAGTTGCTGATGATCTTGGTTCTGAAGACTTTCACATCAACGGTGTTTTCGGCCATGATTTCCATGATGGGGTAAACAATTTCACGAAGCTTGTTGGTGAGCTGATGTAAGACAAGGTCGAGTTCTTTGTGTCCCAAGATGGTCTAAAAGAATCAGTTCAAAGGTGCTCCGATTATAATTTGGTGCACTTACCTCTTGTTGCAATTTGCGGACGATTTCGTTGACGACGATGAGGTATTCGCGGAGGGCTACCTTAATTTGGGTTGGGTGGACGACTTCCTGGAGAAGCTGGGTAAGTTCGTTGGTGTATTCGTGGATTTCCTTGATCAACACGCGTGGAGTTTTGACAACTTCCAAACCTTCGTTGATGTGGATAAAGTGGGAGCGGATTCCGCGGAGAGTGGTCAAGAAGTCGACGAAAAGGTATTTCAAAGTGTATTGGAATTCAGGGTAGAGTTTGTAGGTGAGTTGCACCAATTTTTCAAAACGTTCAAGAACCAGGTTGATGGAGACGATGAAGTTCTTCTTAACTTCGTGGATGTTCGTAATTTCATTGTAGAGGGTGATTTGTTTGAGCGAGTCACGCACTTCCTTCAAAAGGGAGACAACTTCTCTGAAGATGCCAACTCCTTCACTTTGGTAGCTGAAGGTTTCTTCGTGGAGCTTGTTGATGATTACTTGGATAGCTTCAACAAGTTTCTGACATTGCCAAGTGACGGTTTTATGAGCCAAACGATCTTCAGGGAAGTCTTTTTCGAGGTACAAGGTGATGTCTTGCACTTCGGAGCGGATTTCGTTCAAGTACTTGAAAAGAGTGTTGTCTTCGTAGTAGGTTGGGACGGCGAAACTGGCCTAACAAGAGGAAAATCAAATAATTATCAAACTTACCGAAATGAATAGTTTTACTTACTTGAAAAGCCACAGCCACCAAGAAGAAGATCGCCAACTTTGCCATGTTCACTTATGCTTGCCTCAACAAGTGAAGTGCCGACATCCAAAATTCGGTTCCTATTTATACTACAAAAATGCCCATCATTTGACCTATTGGTTTCATTCACCTTCTTATCACATCACCTTTCTCGCATAACAATTAGATAAGCGGCAAATAAAAATCTTTTGCAATATCCCGTGTAAAAAGAGATTTGGTTATCCTCATATAAGAGCGAAGTTAGTCGTTTTTTTTTTGCAAATAGTCAATTTAAGGGTGGATAAAGGGCGCTTTGCTGCACAAATGTTAGAAAAAAATATAGAATTTGCAAATAATTAAATCATTTACTTTTTTATCAACTATCGAATTAATTATTATTAACTTTGTATTACATTTATCAGTTTTGCGTAACCGATTTGTATTTGGTTTAATTATTCCAATCCAAGATTGTAATAGACATTTTGCAATTTGTTTTTATCTGTCTGAAATATTCCATTCCCCTGAATTCTAAGGTAAACTTTGTTGTTAAGAAGATATTGTTCACCATCAGAACCGTACATGATTTTTTCCTTTTTTACCTAGTTAATTGGTACAAAATTAATTTATGGCCAAGGTATCTGTCTACTGATAAAAGAGGTATACCTACTCATAAAATAGACCCTTAGCTACTAGGAAGGGTATTCAAGAATTTTATTTGGCCCATCGATTTATTAGTTCCATCCAAGATATGCCAGAAAACTTCACTTTTTTCTGAGTTGGAAGTTGGAAACTGTTGGTTCAACAGGATGGTGCACCCGCGCACAACGCCCTAACGTGGTAGAATACCTATCGTACAAATGTCCTGGAAATTAGAAAAGGATTCCACCTACTATATTTAGTTTTATAGATACATGTCAAATAGTGATGGTCAAAATGTACCTTCACGGAAAATTTGGGGTTCGCAGTCCTAGTTTGGGGATGTTTCCAAGTTTATTTTCGAACTAGGAATCAGAATATTACCTGAAAGCTACCTAATCTTCCTACTTAACCCCACTGTATGACTACAAACAGCCATGCTGGCATTCGAGCCATGTGTTCACAATCAGTGCCTTTTAATTTTCCCTTTTTATACAGGCCAGTTAGGCATAAATGCTACAAAATACTCCTTTAAATTAAACGAGTGTTTTCACTCACATGAGAAGTAGACACATAAGTTACTACCTACGTCTTCGTTTAGATAAATCGTACGTATCCACGCAAAGTGTGCGATACATCAGGCAATTCATGCGCTATAGACGAAAAAAAGGCGCAGAAGAAATGTCAAATCCCACGCTCGTAATTTGTACAACAAAAGCCGTCAACTTCACTAAAAAGACCCGAATGTCTTCTCAAGTGAAATTTTATCGGAAGCGCCGTTGACGTAACTCCTTCCTGTGAGATACCTTATACGGTAGAAACCAGGTGTGGATCTGTTTAATGTTGCGATTTCTTTGTAACTTGGAAGTTTAAAGCGAAAGTTGTAATTTCAACATTACAAAAATATTTATAAATTACCGTCTCCTTCTCTACACGGCGTAAAAGCAAGCGGACTCTTGACATAAACCAGAAATTCTCGGCCTAGAAACCGAACGTACAACGTTTTTTTAATCATTTTTATTTTGTACATTTAACCGGATTAAACGTTTGAGTGGTTAATTGAGAACATCTGCCACGAAGAGAAGAGCGCCGGTTTCTCAGTAAACTGGGATGTTCAGGGTTAACTCGAACAATAATAATTCAGTGCAAGTCTTAAAGCCATGTGTTGTGTAAGTCATCGTTCTAAAATAGGAGTGGAAAATGTATGCATTCCCACACACTTTTTCCCCCCCTTTCGATTTTTAACGTCAAAACTAAAACGGAAGTCGAATTAGACACAACGGGACTTGTTTTTCCTCAAAAACTCGTATTGATCATAAAAACTTCGAAAAAAGAGAATTGATGATGGTTGGGGCAGTTCATAAAGTTCATCTTAAAATTCCTTTAATAAATCACTTGTTTTCTTTATATTTCCGTTCTTTTTCTCATCAGTAAACGCACTTTCGAAAAGCCCTTACAAAAACAACCCTATATTTCCCTTTACGCGTGTGTGATCGACATTTTGTTGGCTGATTAGTTACATCCACCATTGCAAATATTTGCCGAGGCATTTAGAGAAAATACTCTCTAGTACCATCTTGAATCGTTTCCCTTTATTAAAGGGACAAGAATCGAGAAACGTGCGCAAAACTGCGTGAAACGTAATTGCCATAAATAAAATTAACGCTGGTAATTTTTGTGCGGGCTGGCGTTCCTGTTAATTGTGATCGTTATATCCTGAGCCGGATCCGCGTTATGGAAAAAGATTGAGATAAATAGAAATTATTGCATTCCTTTACTCGCAATGAACCCAATTCTCACACTCTCATTTTACACTTGTCGACGTTTATTGGGCCCTTCGTTATTTTTTTATCGAGATAACTCGGTTATTAAATATAGAAATTGGGAGGTTAATTAATTTATGCTTCCGCTTTATGAGATTATTGTACTTATTTCTTTTTTTCTTTTCAGGTGAGTTTCTTATGTGGCGACCTCGTAGACGACTTGACATTACCGGTAAAGTATAGAAATACCGCAAAAGTTTTCAAATCTAACTACTACTAACATCACATTTGCATTTTTGAACACCAGTAGGTTATTGAAATCACTCCAAATTGCAATTTGGAACTATCAACGGATCTTGACGTTTCAAGGTCACAGGAGTCCAAAAAAAGTGTTAAAAAATGTCTTGTGACGTTATTTTCTTTAACGTTTAATCTTTGCTTTGGTTTGCATTTGAATTACGATGTGGAATCCTTCTCGAATAACATTATGCGAACTCTTACCTTTATATAGCAATCCTTACTGGGCCATCTAGGTGTTCACATTGTAACCCGATCCGTTATCTGTGATATAGCTTTCTTTTAAAACCTTCCCGTCTAGATTTCTGTTGCGCGTTTTTCTCCCACTTGCTGTTGACGCGCGCAGGCCTGGTTGAAAAACTAAAATCGATCTTGACTTGTACTTGAGCTACACGCCGTTACACTTACTTGACATTATTGTCTACCTTTTTGGGATATTATATGTGGTGTTTGTATTAAGATTAGTGAAGTTTTTCTCTTATTATCTTACTTCCAACTTCGCTGACGCATTTCTGCGGATTTATCTTACAAGTTTACGGCTACTTTCGTACTCCCTGAGTTTTCTTTCTTCTTATTTTGGAGTTACCAATTGCTTCCTGATTGTGCATTGATACTTCTAAGTGGAAACGCGAATTCCCGATTTTCGAGATTGTGCAAGAGAATTCCATTGAAATTTCGACGCGATTACCAGTCAAAAACTCCATGCATATTTCTACCTTATCGACTGAAGAATTACCGCCATTTCGTGTGAAACCGATTTGAACTGATGACCCAATTTTGCGAAGTTCGTTGACCTACGATTGATTCCTCCGAAACGCAAGTGTCTAAATAACAAGACGTGTGGAGTTGATACTGTGTAAATCGTTCGTATGTATTTGTATACCCAGTTACCGATTACGTTTAGTTTTGTCGTTACCGAAGTTTAGATTAACGATAATATCATCTACGATCGACATCATATTTGTGTTACTCCGATACTTATATTTCTTAGTTTACTGTATTTTATCCGTCATATTAACTACTTAAGACTTCATGTCACTTTTTGATATCTCATATCGATCCTAAAAACCAACCCTTAGTCGAACCAAATTTTGTTTTGTCGTTAAAGTCATTTGAATTTTTCATTCTTTTTAGTATTGATTGCAATTCAACGTATAAAAATAACCCTTCGTATCTTACGTTAACCATTGCTTATGCTTTATATTGTGCAACGCGAATCATTACCCTTCTTATATTTTGTGTGTGTGTGTGTGTCTGTCTGTTTACAGATTTGCAGTTTCGCGTCCTCTGAGCTCAGAAGGTTGCGACCGTAGTTCAAGGTATTACTTTGTTTGAAAGTATTAATGATTATAGCTCCGTTGTTTCTGCGGAAGCCCTTTTGGATAAACACTTTCACCGGCTACGTGTTGGCTTCTCATTTGTTTTTATTAGAGATTATTTTAAATTCCCATTTTGACATACCAGATCTATATATTACAGTGTCAGGTTTGTGATATTTTGAGATCTTTGTATTAAAGTATTAAACCACCCGCATTTATGACATCAAATATTGTTTATGTTTCTTTCCCCATAATTGTGCATTCCTTCGAGTTTAGTAAGACGAGAACAAGGATCTCTTAGTCTGCCTTGTTTATCTCTTTAGTAAGTATTGCTCTCTCTCTCTCTCTCTCTCTCTCTCTCTCTCTCTCTCTAGATTTATCAAAGACTAAGTGGCGCCTATCCGGATTACTTTTACAGTTTCCTTCCCTTTTTGGCTTATTTTTGTTTGTATAGAAGAACCCCATATTCATCCCGACCCACCTCTACTTGGTCTGAGCTTGTGTGCTTATCTAAGGTAATTTTGTCACGTTGGCCCAAAGTGAACGTAAAAGTCTGTATGTTCGTATGTGTGCGTGCGGCATGAAAACTGAGAAGATTGTGGAAAATTGGAAATGTCCGTTTGGCTATAAAACTTATATTTATTAAATAAGGTATGAGCAACAAAATTTTAATTGAGAGAAGGCCGTGCAAATTTTAGGCCACGTTTGACGGCTCTCGTTAAGAAGTTATTATTATTACCCAGTGAGGCAGAACACTTAGTTCGGGCATATGCGCGCAACTCACCCGACTTTTGAAACGTTTGTGGCAAAGAATCGATTTGCTTTTAATAAAAGGAGTCACTGCTGAAAACTAAAAAAAAATCACTCCAGTCGTTCATTCAGTAAATTTTTCTTAATTTTTGTAGAGTTTTAACGAAATGCACTACGCATATTATTGATTTTATTTACCACCGTTTCTTTGTTGTCGGTGGGATTCCTGTCTCTCAATTTCTCCGCTAATTTTTCGTAAGCAGCTTGTTTTTTTTTATTTTTATCATTGTTCTTTGATTCTATATTCCACAAACATGGATTTACATGGCTTTATAATTTTTTTTTA